ATCAAGGAGTCCAGCAAGTGAGTCCTGACTGTGTGCAATAAACTTATTTTACTCTCTTTTAATTACCCCTTATATTAACCCATGTCTATGTTGTTCTTTACTCTTTCTGTGAAGAGTGCATAACTTTAAATGTGTGTGTTAATATTCTACAGGGCAATCAGTCACATGATGTCCTCTCTGCTCTACCCTCTGGTCACCTTCGTTCTCGTGCTGGTGTGCGTCGCTTACTGGGGCGCCACTGCTTTGTATCCTTCATTTTTATGTTTGCATTTGTTTTTGTATTTCTATGCATGCTGTCAGTCACAGTGTGCCTTTTACCAGATTAAAGTAAACATGTATCTAAGCTGCACTTCTATACAGTCCAGAGTGTCTGTTGTTCTCTTTAACTGATGAATGAAAGATATTTGGCCACTTCAGGAGGGCCGATCTACAGAGTGGTGGCTCTGAACTCCACTATGAACGACTGCAAGAGTATCAACGGCTCTGTGAACTGTGACCCTCAGGTGAGTCGGCAGGATGGGAACACGGAGAAGTTTGTCTCAACACTTTTCTTTCATAGCATTAATATCCACAAGTGCCTTTTTTATTCAAAAATGTAAACTTGTAAACAAATGTCTTTCCAAAGGTTATACATACAAAGTATTAGGAATGTGTTTACACATTTGTATTAGTATTTGTTAAAGTTGTTTATGCTAGATTACACATGATTGTAGATCTAAATTCATCATAATAACACTCGATACAAATTGTGACCTACATTGTAAACTTCTTACATTTATATCTTTGGTTGAATTGGCAAGTAGAATGAATTTGGCTCTGTTAGCAGTCAAATTACCATCACTTACTAACATACAATTATTTCCCCTCTAAAACTAAATGACTAGCCATCAGAAAGGGATAAACATAAAATGTCCTTTCACCAAAGATAATGCATGATCTGATACGTACGAGGAGACGTCACACTGTTTATGCTAAGACTCTTCTCTCAACCACTGCACCATTCCACTTTCTTTTTCTCCATCACCCACTCATTCATTCATTCTTCTCTCAGAACTTCAACACGTCAGACTACCCAGACTGCCCCTCAACCAGCTGCATCTTCATCAAATACAACGAGGAGGGTCTCTTCCAGAGGAACCTCTTCAACCTGCAGATCTACAACGCGGTGGCTTTTCTCTGGTGTGTCAACTTCGTCATCGCCTTGGGCCAGTGCACGCTGGCAGGGGCCTTCGCCTCCTACTACTGGGCCTTCAACAAACCCGGCGACATCCCCTACTTTCCTTTGTCTGCTAGCTTCATACGCTCTCTCAGGTGGGTTGATGAGCTGCTGTCACATGGTCACATCCTCTTACAGCAGGTGTGTCCATCCATGCCAAAAAAGCCAAAATGAATGCCTGCAGTCCCAAAGGCCGCTATTACTGGTTTACTGTCATCTTGTGATTCTAGTGACGTGATAACGTTACCGAGGGTAATGCACAAAGGGGAACCTTTTTAACCTAAAAGTACTCAAGAGTGCTCCACAAAAAATACTGGTAGAAGCAGTTTCCTCTAGAGGGCGCACTAAACACACAACATAACAGTTTGTGGAAGCAGACCTCAGCTTCAGTTTTTTGCATTTCAGGTACCATGTGGGCTCTTTGGCGTTTGGTGCTTTGATCCTGACCCTGGTGCAGATAGCGAGGATGATTCTGGAGTACATCGACCACAAAACCAGACGTAAGGCAGATAAACCCTCATCTAACATTCACATCTCATCTCTCATCTTTTTTATGTGTATTCTTGTTACATGTGCTTCAGTGTAAAAAGTCCTAATATTTAGAAGTATTTATCAAAGTGTTTTTTATTCAGCAGTTCCACTTTTAGTCTTAGATACATAATATATGAATCTCATGACATATTATGTTGATTAACCTCAAGTTTATTTTCCAAATGTCTCAGTGGATAAATTGCTACTAAAGATGTGCAGGCTGTTTACAAGTGGAAAAGAGTTGGAAGTTAATGGTTTCTGTTAATTGACAGGCTGCTTATTTTGTCTTTTTGTCTCCAGAGGCTCAGAATCCATGTGCACGCTTCGTATTGTGCTGCATGAAGTGCTGCCTCTGGTGTCTGGAGAAGTTCATAAAGTTCCTCAACAGGAACGCTTACATCATGGTGAGGACAGAGAATTGTACAGTTGTTGAAATCAGTCCATTAGAAACAAACATTTACAATATTATACAGTATGTTGTATTTTAATAAAATGTATTGTATAGATTTCTTTTCTAAAACAAGTGATTTTGTTTTTCCACAGATTGCCATTTATGGGACAAACTTCTGTGTCTCAGCCAAAAATGCTTTCATGCTGCTCATGAGAAATGTAGTGAGGTTTGTGTTAAAATCATGATCATGAGTTCAATGTCAATGCTGGCTGACCTCATGATGTCTGCCCAGTGCATGACATGAATATATATCCTTGTGTTAGGCGGTTTGGGTGAATAATGTTGTGTTTTTCTGACTGTGTGTCCCTTAGGGTTGTGGTGCTGGATAAAGTCACAGACCTGCTGTTGTTCTTCGGGAAGCTCCTTGTGGTCGCAGGAGTGGGTAAGGATGACGCCATGTATTGGGACGGGTAACACTAGAGAAACGGGTTCATATGTTGTGTTCTTGTCGAAAACCAAAAGTGTTTATGGTTGTTCTACACAGCCATCCTGGAGAGTGGAGTGGAAAGCCAGCTGTCAGAGAGGCCCGAGTTAAGACATTGTTTAAACACGTGGATAACTGTGTGCTTTTTCATTCTCCCTTTGAAAACACTTAAGAGTGTTTGCCCTTGATTGTACAGCTTCAAGCTGATTCAAGGAGATCTGTGACTGGCCTATGCTCACGTCTCTTGTTACAGAAGTTGTCAGACACAGCCAACTACTATCCAACATGCAGTAGGCCTACTGAGAATACTGAGCCCTTCAGTCAAATGCAGGACTTTGCATTGTTTTAAATGGCAATGCTTCAGATTTCAGTCCTGGTGGATTCGACACTATTTACTGGTGTTAACAGTAGTTTCGTACTACAGGTCAAAATACTGAGAGCAGCTAATGCAACTATATAAATATTGCCCTGCTCTATCCAGTGGGCTCAATCACCATTGTGTTACATGATGATGTGTTTGATTAAAATCAGTTTTTATTTTAGTTTTATCTTACAGAATATTGTGTAAACATAATCAAAAAGACGTGTTCTTATACAGTGAAGCCCATTACGCTTCTAGATAAATGCATAACAGGAAATGGGAGGAGAAACTGTAATCTTATTTTTTTCCAGGCGTCTTGTCCTTCTTCTTCTTCTCTGGACGAATATCGCTACCAGGCAACACCTTCCGCACTGAAACCCTCAACTACTACTGGATGCCAATTATTGTAAGTCACAAATGTTTCTCCTCAGTATTTAACGCAAACAAATTCAAAGTATATTATAAATCCTTTCTTTCTTTCACATCTGTTTTTGTAGACGGTGGTGTTTGGAAGCTACCTCATAGCCCACGGATTCTTCAGTGTGTACAACATGTGTGTCGATACACTCTTCCTCTGCTTCTGTGAGTAGATGTTTACAGTTTAGCACCATGCATGTTGTTGATATAGAAATACATCCAACATGAGGAACCTATTGAAGCCGTGAGAGGCAGGGGGCAAACACAGGAGAAACACAATTTAGATAAGACTTAGAAAATGGATCACCAAATGTTTTCTCCCTTGCCTCTCACGGTGCCCGTTTCCTCCTCACGTTGGTAGAATCATTATGTGTTTGTGGAAAGATTTTAATACTTGCAAATATAGTCAAATATTTATTACATGTTGATTTGAAGCTAAGAAGCTTAAAATGTAACTTGGATACATTGTTGTATTGAACAATACGCACATAATCAAGCACACATGCTCTGTTTGATCACAATGTGTCTTTCCCTCTCACAGTGGAGGATTTGGAGCGTAACGATGGATCTTTGCAGAAGCCTTACTTTATGTCCAAAAACCTCATGAAGATCCTCAACAAATCCAACAAAGCCCCGAAAAAGGTTAAAGAGAAAGAATGAAATAATTTCTCCTAGGTTTATGATGCCACACTAACAGTGTCACAGAATATCAGGATCTATATTTTTTAATACCTTTTCAATTGTTTTTCAAACAAGTCTACTGAAACTTATTTGCTGATTTTGCACCTTTTCTTTTTTATTGTATATGCAAATGTAGTATTAATGACTGTGCACATGAAAGGACTGTGAAATTCAAAGTGTCTTAGACATCAAATGTCTTTGTTTGTTAAAATAGTTTTTCTTTGTCTCATGACAAAAAAATCCCAAAATAATTTTCTTTTACTCTTAACAAGTTTGCCTGGCTTATAGCTGTATCCTCGGTTCATTTTAGACTTATTTATCTTGGGTTTGTTAATCCAGTTTAATGGCTTTTAATGCAAATAAGAGTTTTACCTGCGGTAAGTTATTTTCTATTTTTAATCAAGTTCTTTCATGGATGATTCCTAAGATGTGTTTTCATCAGATGGAACAAAAATAAATAGCAACAGCAACATTTAATATTTCTAGATATTTGTAAAAAAGAAAAAAAGTTATAAACACAAAACGCTATTTACAATCACAATAATGGTACTGATTATATGGATAAGTTGTTAATATGTACATGACAATACTGTTTGTCTTCCATCAACCTACTGTACTTCCAAACCTTTCACTGTTTCTCACCTTCACAGATGCTCCTGTACATGTAAACAATCATGGTTGATATTATGTACTATTCTTTGGTTTTCTTGTTTATCAGATAACCCATTTACATTCTTCTTCCTTTTGTGAAGCCTGCAAATACAGAACCATACAAAACAAATCTGACTCTTTAGAAAATCTTCCTTTTCTGCTTGAATTATTAAACAGGTGACATACAAAGCTTAAACAAATATATATGTATTTGAAATCCAATTACATAATATTAAAATGTAGATAATGACAACTCAAAACAAAAGGATTTGTTTTTAATGAAGTTTTAATCTCTTACATCATTTGGTTTTGCACAATGTCTCCCATTTAACTCTGTCAAATCGTGACTTCCATCATTTAGTGTCACATAAGCCTTATAATACAAAAAGTTGCTTGAACAGACAGGTATGAAAGAAATGACGAGCTCCAGTAGCAATTCTGTTTCTCCCACAGAACACCTTGAGTTTCTCTGACCCTGGTGTGATGTTTTATTGTCCGACCCATTGCATCTAGATCAGCTGAATTACAGCGGTATCACACACCAAAATGTGTTTGGAAGTTATAGTGTATATGTGGGGAATAAAAACTCCCATGAAGCGGTTTGTGACTGAAAGAAGTGTGTGTGGAGTAAGAAAGAAGTGAGTGGCACTTTTTCCTTAACTTGTCAGATATTATTAAGATGAATGCGTGTTAGTTTTGCTCAACTGCTTTAAACAGTGTTCAGTAAATTAAGGTCCACTGTGTCAGTTACAAAAGAGCAAATCTCCCCATATCAAATCACATTAGCAGGGAAGGACAAACTTTATGTATTTAAATCAATTGGTGAAGTTTGTAGGAGTTATTTGGGCTGCAAGCATATTCTAATAAAAGGAATTCACTTGATTTACAAAAGCATCTTGAGGCCAACTCGCTCAAACCTTTCTCCCTCTGTGGCTGGTCATCCACTCAGAAAACACGTAAAAACAGCATTTACAATATTCATATATACAAATATATAATGTTTACACACTCACTCAGACAGTCAAGAAAAAACGAATCACCTTGACAGAAAGCTTCCTGTAAATTCTCCCCTCAACAAATGACTGAAAGGATTCTCCTCGCGCGTTGCATCGAGTCTGCCTTCATGACGTATTGTGTAGATCTTATCGAGCTACTTTATTAGTCAGAACGTTTCTCTCTCAACAATTTGCTCTTTAATAAACAAACTGTGTGTCAGATTGCTTTTTACTCTCAAGTTGCTCATGTTGATGCGAAGAAATCTACCAAACTGGGGCTAAATCGTCCCTTGTTTGTACAGCTTTGTGAGGAAAGACACAACAAGTGGTTACACGCCAACACACGCTCCAATCTTTAGGACAGCTGCGTCTACAAATGACTTCACAGTGCAATGGCAGGTTTTCGTTAAGACAAATGTGCTATTTCTACTTGTCTGTCTGTTTTCAAGCATTAGTCGTTAATTCTAGGAGTTCTTGTTCAATTCACGAGGAAACTGTAAACAGGAACACAAATCATTTACACTTTTCACCCCCCTGACATCGGACATGAATCATCTGCTACTCTTTGGCCATCTAGAGTAAGAAATAGCAAATAGCCTTCCCTCTCTTTTCATTTTAACTCCACAAGAGGAATGTGAAAAACCAAAAAAACAGAACCTCTTCCGCACCTTAAAAAAAAGAAAACCCATGACATACCCTGATCACTTAATACTGTCTCTGAACCCCAGCAGTTATTGTTCTGGGTGTGTTTATGAACAGGTGCATGAAGAAAACAAGCGCCAACATGATTCATGATTTTGGGTTTACGCACAACTTGGGTAAACAAAAATCAATGAAGCAGGTAGGTAGGTAGGTAGGTAGGTAGGTAGGCAGGCAGGTAGGCTGAGGAAGTGAACCAGCCTTTGCCAGGAGGGGAAAACCAAATAGATATAATACATCGTGTACTTCTTGTTTTGGGATCCAACACAATACTCCACTCTCTCTTAAGTTAGTACCTGCTAGGAAATGTAGAATGAGTGTGTGTCTGTGGCTTTAGTTTAGCGTGTGGGAGGTTTTTTTCCCGCACTCCTCCCTCTTGCTCATAGATCCAGAGACTCCGGTCCACGTCACACGCTCAGCAGCCAGAAGAAGAAGAAGATGGCCACAAACAGGAAGAGGGAGTCCTGCCAGTTGTTACTGCCGTTGTTGAGGTTAGGGGTGCCTTGCTGATCCCCTGCATACTGGTCTGATGAGAGGGGGAAAGCTTATTACACCAGTGTCTCAGGGGATGTTGCATATTAACTTTAATTATGCTGTTGAGATGGGGCTTTATTCCAATTAGAAATCAAACTAATCCATCACAGGCTTTCTGCAATTCTTTTATTTTTAAAAACACATTCTCGTGTTTGCTTTTTGCTTCACAACAGCACCTTAATATGGTCACTGATGATTCAGCTACTTTTAGGCATGTTTAGCAGCAGACTTTACATCAGATTTTTAGCCAAATGTCGAACAATTTATATAAAATATACAACAAATATTGTGTCTCTTTTGCAGAGCGAGAATCTTCAGTAGATGTTGAAGTCAAATGCTTCACTGAAAATCATAATTTATTTGCGAAATATATTTACATTGCATTTTACTATAATCAATACACCAACTTTTCTTTCTCAGCCAAGCGTAGAAATGTTTTTGCTACATTTCGGCTTTCCAATCCAATTAAAAAAAACACATTTTTTTAAACATAAATGTTCTCTATTACCTTATTATATAAGTTATATATATTATCATATACTAAAGCAAGTTTTTGAAACTTCTAGCTTCAAGCGTTTAACTCTTTCCTCCTGGTTACAAATTGTGTCTCCTCGGTTTGAATGATATAAAAAACATCAAGTAGACTACACTTACAGAATGTTTCACATTCACTTATCATCATCAGCTTTGTTTGTGTCTTTTTGTCTACCTGCTCTGTGAAAGGGGTCGTTGGCGTTGAAGACTGTGGTGAAGAAGCCGAAGGGGAAAGCACCGATGCCGAAAGACATGTGAAAGCCGGTGTCCGCGAAACCCTGAAACATCTGAGGAAAAAACAGAAATAAAGTTTTTAAATAACATAAAAGAGGATATTGATCTTAAACAGTGGAGGTAAACCGACTCACCCCGCCCCGACTCTCCGGCTCTGTTCTCTGTCCCTGGGGCCGAGGGGGAGTTTTCAACCTGAGCACAGAAGCATGAAATCATAAGGCAACCATACAGCTATCACAAAGAATCCCCACACAGCGCTGCAGACCCTCAGGGTACCTGGGGTCCTCTTGGCTGGAGCTCCCCCTGCCGTACAGCGGGATGACTTTCTCTCTGCTGATGCCCGCTTTACACACAGGACACTGCTGCCTGCTGGGCCGCGTCTCCAACCACTAGACGGAGCAAGAGAGGGAGAAATGTCAACATTTTCCAACACTGATCAGATGAACCCCGTTTTTTGCTCTCTAAATACTGGGGTCAGTGCCAAATGACATACCTAATATATAAAGAAAGACTAAAGATTTAAAGGGCTAGTTTGGATTGTTTGAATTCAGGTTGTATGGTACTTGTGCAAATCCATTGGAGTACAGGCACAGAAGCTAAGCACTGCATCAAAAACCTATTTAGGCACCAAAAATAAAATCTAATGTGTACACCTTATTTAGAATATCTTCCCAGCTTTACTCTGATGTTACAGTCCTCTCTCACAGTGAACTGAAGCAGTTATCATTGCTCTCTTTAAAGTCACCCGAGTCCATTGACCAAAACAGTAAGTTAAGCTCACAAAACATTAGAGTTGTTTGCCATAATGTTAAAGCACTTTGAGCTGCATCCTGTGTATGAAAAGTACTACACAAAGAAAGCCTTATTATTCATAGTACTATGACTCATTTCATTTCAAACCTTTATTTAATCAGATTGGTCCCTTGAGATCATAGATCTCTTTTTCAAGGGAGACCTGCAGCATATAGGTACCACATGAAACATAAAACAATAAAGGACATCATACATTATATTTACAGGATACATTTATATAGTTAGACATTTACAAGTGCCCATAGTATCAACGAGCATTTCATTTAGCCTAGCTTTAAAAACATGCAGAGGAATGAGATTGCTCAGTTTCAATTCTTGCTGAAGATTGTTCCAAGCAAGTGGAGCTGCGCACATAAAAGCTGTCTTACCTAAAACAGTCCTTGCTCTTGGCACATCTAACAATACTACATCAGACATCTCAGACAATAGCTGCTTGCAACTCTCTGTGTTATCAGAGAGCAGATATGCAACCTCACCCCAGCAGTACATTCTTAACACAAATTTGGGATTAACAGTCATTATATTCCCATAAATGGTTCCAATAATGTTTTTATTGACTTGAATCAACAGTATGAGATGTTTGTGTTGCTACACTGAGAGCAAGTACAGCTCTACATGGTAAATGAGTGAGTAGCAGACAGAAAACCGCAGTAAACAGAGCATTAGCATGTTTAAGCTGCACCAGGCCAATGGACAGGTGAAGTTTCCACACTGAAGTTACATCACAGCCATGTGCTCATTACATTTAGGTTAACATGCTGGGGTAGAAGGCCCTACTCAGCAGCAGCTCGCTCACACACACACACAGGGGTTTTCATGTATGCACGGCTTTGCTGCAGTCTGGTAGTGTGACATCAATACAACTGGTTCATGTGACTGAAACAGACACGATAGTCACGATTTGACATCAAATGCTTCAATTGGCCTTGAAATTAACTGTTTTACAGCTGCTGAGGAAGTGAATAAGTGGACCAGTCCATGTGAATGTTTACAATCGTTTTCATTATCAGTTAATCAATCAGTCAAAGAGACTCCATTATGTGAGGTCATAGAGCCATTCAAGCTCATCTAATATTTCATTATAGAAGTTCAATTTCATTCTTTTTAGAAATAACAATCAAATGGAAAACAATAACATAACGTTGAAGCCCCAAACATTTTCTGTCATATTTACCAGGGAAAAGCAAAAACACTTTGCATTTTTGTTTTGTATGATTAATAGATCATTAAAACATGTGCAGAATGGGTAATTGTCCAGAAGTAATATAGAACAAAGAAAAAACCTCCACCTGCATGTTCCTATGAATGATTAGATACATCATGTAAAACAATATGAGTTCTCGATCTAGGTTGTCACCCAATGAACCATTTTACCAGACTGTAGTGGCCAATTGTCCAAAGAAAATCCATGTTCAAAGGCCACTTAGTCTAGGAGGCGAGCTCGAGTATTGACTCGCGTATATTCAAAAAATCAGATACCTTGCTCGTTCCATTCAGGTGCTTTATTGAGAGGTTCAATAGATCAGCTGGCGGCCCACTGCCGACGTGCAACATTTGCACGGTATTTAAACAAATAAACAAACAAGATCCATTGGTCATACGGATGTGTGCGGTCAAAAACTTTTTCCAACTGCCTCTCTAGACTTCCTGCTGTGTCATGCTGGCAGCGTCATTTATACCTGAGCACGCCCCTACTATTGCTTTGTATAAATAATAACAAAACATAAACTAGAGCTGTCCATAAGCAAGATGACACGTTACAAAAACAGTATAATAATAATTCATAGTTATTCAGCTCATTTAAGTTCAATTAAAGAATATTCAATTGGCTCACAAAACCATAATTCATTACCATAAAATAATGTGCCTAAATGGCTCTTACACAGACTAACTCACATCTCCTATCAAGAGTATAAGTGAAAACACCTGTAGCTGTTTAAAGTCCATGACAAAGCCAAGAGTGACACAACAGAGGGAATACTCACTTGATGAAGACAGGGCCAGCTGTAGAGACAGAGAAAGAAACATATTTTTAGTTTGCATTCAAACAACTGTTTCTTTATTAAATAACGGCACCAATATTCCTGGACACAATTGTTGTCTAGATTAATGCAATAATTGTTAAATCTATCAAATATCTGAAAAAGGTCAAACAAATTATAATGTCCATCCCAGTACCTTAAAGCGAATGTGAGTTTTTAAAAATGTTTTATTGTCAAACCCAAATTAAATCATTAATAATAGTTAAATATGAGATAAAAACAGGCAAGACATCTTAATGGATAGAATACATGAAAGTCTGTTCTGGCTATCTCCCCCGGTTTTCCCCCGTGTTTGGTGCAGGGAAGCCCACCAGGCAGAACCACCTGCTCCTAACGAGGTAGCTAATTAAACCTGCCCCTGCACCCCTCGTTAGTGCTAATTGGCTCCATCTGTTGCCAGCAGACCTGCTGCTGCGGCATGCTGGGAGATAAGCATGCAGGTTTGATGAAGCGCCACATCAGAGAAGCTTTTTCAGGAGACCGACAACAACACAGTGGATATTTCAACCTCTTACACCTTTTATAACTCTATAACAATAATGATCACCACAAAGAAATATGTTTTGAAATAGTGATTGAAAACCATGAAATACAGTTGGTGACTTCAGTTTTATACACCTTTCATCAGTTCAAACGTTCCCACAATAGAAAACTGGCGCCGTACGTGACAAATGAAGGTGGGTTAAAGGGACTGAACGAACCCATAACAACTCATGAAGTGTTTGTCTTGTGGGTTTTCAGTTCAAGCTCTGAATAACATAATCATGCATCATAGGCTAATATGCATTATAAATTACACATGTGAACAAATGTCTACAAGCTTCCTGTCATGCCTCCGTCAGAGATTATTTTTGAGGTAAACCTCAACAGCAAAATAACTCGGATCATGCAGAGGAACAGGAAGGCCTTGTTTTTATCACTTTCGGTATTTCACAGCCATAAAACATTCAACACATTGCTGCCTCGGGTGGATCCTGACCTTACACGTCAACAAACCATAAAGCAAAACACAACCTTGTGCCAATCGGCAGGCTTATCCACACATAGCGACCTCGGCTCAGTGCTATTTGTAACGCCGGCCATCAGATCGCCGCTGAGATTGGTATTCCTGTAGCTACAACAGCTGAACAAAGGGTAAGGCTCACGTTAACGTAACAACTCATTCAACTTTGATCGAACATGTGGCCACACATATAGCGGAGCTCTGGTGACCTGAAATAACTGCTTTATTTACAATAGGAGGCTCCACAGCCATTCATTGAAGCCAGACTGCACAGACTCCATTATGTGACTCCAATCATTTAATAATACCAATACATTACAATATGTACATAACCTCAGACTGGATTGTTATCTAGTTAATCCCCTCTGATCGTAAAGTGGCAATAGACAAATATTTTGCATTAACTCATCATTATGAAGTTACGGTTGATAAATGGTTATAGAATTATGACTTCAAATTGGCCTTGTTTTTTATGTTCAATTATCCAGGACAACTAATGTGCAATTTACTTTGCAATTTCGATTTAAGGTTGCAGAAGGTAATCTGACGTCAACACCTTTCTTCCTTGCTGGTGGTTTCATCACAGTTTCATCACGTTACCCAGAAGATGAGAGAGGTAACTTAGCAACAAAGTTACATCAACTCCCCAAACACAGCAGCCTCAATGCAACTGCATGTGAGACTGAGGGGAATTTCACTGATCAAATGTAAAAAATCAACAAACCAAATATGAAGATACCTGCCCTTAATAATACCAAATGAAAACAGCATCAGGCACTGTGACCCTGTGCACTTATTGTAAACATTTAAACAGAACACACCTTATTTTACAGCCTGCACACTGAATTGCATTTTCAGTAAACAGTTTTATTTTTTTTAAAAAGGTAACTTTCCCCTTGTAGATGTGACAAGCAGTCACATCTACCTGTGAGTATATTAATCATCAACTTTGCAGCTAGCTGGGCATTTCTAATTTCCAAACATCCCTTCTGGGCTGAATGGGCAGTTCAAAACCCTGGTTTAGGTCAAGTTATGTCACATCTTGCACATGATTGTCATACGCAGCTAATATAAAAAAAAGTGGGCTTCTCTGGTGTGTTTGCCACAGATGGCAGTTCCTTTGAGTAGAAACCTCGACACTGAGGATAATATAACATCTGTACTCACAGAGAGAACTGTTTATATGCAGCAGAGCGTCCTACTATCCACTTCCTTAAACGGCACCTCTGTTTACAAAACATGTGTCTGCAGACCCAAACAGATGATTGTCATTTACATTTTTACAGGTTTAAAGAAGTCACTTCTTCTGTTGTATGACTTTTACTGTTGATTATAATGCCCTTAGGTTTGACCCTAATCCCAATCTCTTCTCGCTAATCTCACATTAGCCTGAACCTGCGAGCAACACGGCCTTCAGTCAACACTCGTGAATGAGCCTTTGCACACGTCACTGCATTTGTAGAAGTTGTTTAAAGGTTGTGCCTTTTTCAAGTCTTGATTAAAACAGAGAAAGGAAAAAGAAATCACAGTTAAAGAAGAACCTACTTTCACTATTGATTAGCTATTAAACTATTGATATGAGCAATTCCTAAATACCTCACAGCAGCAAGTTTGTATCACAATTTGATTGACTAGGAATATAGCTGATAGTTATTTTTTAAATCACAACTTATAGATGAATTGTGCCTTTTTTATTTAAAAAATACAAAACAAAGGAACGGCTTTTTGTATCACAAATCGGAAAACATCTTTCAATATTAATCTAATGATTTCATGTATGTGGTTCGAAGTAAAGTGTCAATAAACCAGCCCTTTTGCAGGTTTAGTATAAAGCACTTGCTGTTCTGACTACAGTTTCAGGTATAAATTAAGCCAGACTCATGTCAAATCATCAACATATTATAACACAGTTATCCACGTACAAAGATTGTGGCCCTGATCTAAAAGCTGCAAATGATCCCCAGACAGTTTTACCGGAACGTTAATGTGTCACAGATATTGTTAATGAGCAATGGTGACCTCTGACCTACATTCAACCATGTATGATCAGGCTGAGCCACTTAACTCCTCACAAGATCTGAGCAGCAAATCACATGTGCAATTTGAATATATGGGGGAACAGCCTTCAGTGAGGCACCAGGACCATAAACACACTCTATAATGTTCAGCCAACTGATAGCAAACCAAAACCCTTTTTAGTTAATTTGTATCGTTGCAGCATCAACATTACAATGTGCACAATATAGATATTCCAATTGCAGTTCTTGCAGTGTCAGTTAAGGCAAATTAAGGCTTCACACTGCAACTTTATGCTGCTTGATATACAAAGGAATACATGTTTTAATGACTGACTAATCTACAAGAGAAGCCTGTCTGATAGAACATCATACAGTTTGATATGAAGATGTTTTGTATTTATTTATCACAACTATATAGACTATATGGCAGAAAAGGAATACAAAAGGCCAGCCACATTATGATCAAGTTACAGCTGACTGGATATCTGTTTTATTCCTAATCAGATGGTTTTAATTAGTTGAGCTACCTACACCACCATATTCCCATGCACCCTGCAGCACGACCCCCTCGGGTACAAGTACCTCTTGTTGGGAATCACTGTCCTAGATATCATGCACGCGGAGACACACTGGTTAAAGCGTGTTATTGGGCATTATTCGGCCGGTAAACACTTCTAACTGATGGTTTAAAAGAGGCAGCACAAATGGAAAACTATGGTAGGCTTTAAACACACAACAACAACAACAACAACAACAATCACTTCCACATCAAAATGACCCACTCCTCCCCCCGGCTCGTACCAGAACAAGTGTCCGCACATACTGATGACCGCGTCCCGGGCGGTGTCCAGACAGATGTTACACTCGAAGGTGGCCCGGTCCCGCTCCGGTTCGCCCTCCGCGCCGCCGCTGCTGCCGCCCGGCCCGTTGCGGTCGTTGCTGCTCTCCCCAGCCGGGAATCCTCCTCTGCTGGCCGGCCCGCCGTCACTCGAGGACCGGGGATCCGCGGCCGACATAATGTTTACTGTGCAGGTGAAGTAGATAAAGTACCAACCCAACCGAACCCCACCGGGCCAAACCGGAGCAAACGTTAGCCGTGTCAGAGGCGACTACAAGCGTCAGCGGACCGAGGCTGCTGCTGCTGTCGCTCCACATGAATCTGGGCTTCCGCTTCCGGGGAAAACCCAGACGAGGGGGCGGAGAAAGGTTTTTATCATAGGTTTTTAGCATTGACTGTATATATAAAGGTTTTTAGTCTATGGTTTTTATCCATGACCATGGGAGAGACTAGTGATCATCATCATCATCATCATCATCATCATCATCATCATCATCATCATCATCATCATCATCATCATCATCATCATCATCATCATCATCATCATCATCATCATCATCATCATCATCATCATCATCATCACCATCATGATCACCATCATCATAAATATTAACAGTGACCCACATAATTGTTTTAAGGTTTTTTTAATGTCGTTTTTTTAATGATGTTTGTTTTATTATTATTATAATTTGTAAAGTTTGTTTTATTTGTATTTATTGTTCTATGTAAGTGTTGGAACTGTCCATGATGATGTATGTGTAGTGTACACATTTAGGTAGTAGTTACATACAATAAACATTGAGGTGAGTGGGTGTTTATATAATAAACATGAGGTTAGATCCTGTGAATTATAAAAAGTGGATACGTGTTGTGCTTATTTTCAAAATATATAATGTGTGATTTTCTATTGAAAACTCTTCATTTTTTTACAACTGTCATGTTATGTATACCGGTAAGCTTTTCTTATTGCATATACATTTTTCTATTTTCAAGTTTTTTTTTACTCTTACAAGAACTCTAATCATCAAATTATGCTGAATAAGATCTAATTGTTCTCAGATAAAGTTGATCCTTAGTATTATTATACACACTCTGTCCGCTGGGGGCGTTAATGTTTGTTTTGGCAACAAACAGACGAAGAAGAAAAAGCTGCGCACAAAGCTGCGCACTAGCTGTTTCTTGTATCATGAATGGTGGAGGCGATGTTTTGATGGAGTCCAGGGACTTAAAGAGCTCTATTTTTGTGTTGTAAACAATAGCTGCTGCATAAACCGATGTCTTATTATAATGCAGTAATACTTCTGAGAGTAAATTAATTTGGATGCGTGAGAAAGGACCAGTCTGTAAAATATCGGTGGCTACGGTTGCCTTGCTAACGTTAAGCTAAGTTGTGGCAATCCTTTCATTTAATGAGCTCACCCTCTTTTAACCTGCTGTGTTTTTCTTTATACTTTAGCACCACTGGGGATTACCTCGTTTTATTTGCGGCTATATTTATCAAATACCTTTAAGTGAAGTATCAAAAAGTAAGGCTTATTGATATTTAATTCCAGGGGGAGTGGTTATCCATGTCCACGAGTTCCTGCAGATACATACAATTTTGTCACAGCAGCAAACATGTCGTTAGTCGCCTATGGCAGCAGTGATGACAGCGACTCAGAAGAAACATCAGCTTCACAGAGTAAAGGGAGCAGCTCGGGGGGGCTCTTCTCTCTCCTGCCCACTCCAAAGAAGCCCGTTTCGGCTGGGGGAGGATCGAGAAAGGAGACAAGAGTGCACCGCTTAGGGGGGCACAGCAAGGCACATGATGACCCTGATCAACCACCATCTAAAGGAGGCTTGATTTCTGCCTTTATGCCTAAACCGAGGAAGAGAACAGAGCCTGTCAAAATCACTGCACCACAGATCCAGAGACGGGATGTGAGTACTGACCCGTTTCACTTGACATGTTGTAGCTCCTGTGATCAGTGCTTGAATTGGAATGAAAAAGGTGCCAGTACTCTAAAATCAGCAACTTTTTCAAGTCAATTTTATATATACAGCCCACAAACAAGAATTTGGCTACTATAATGCTGGTGGGTTTGTCTCTTTACTACTGTATATTTTAGAAAGGTTCACTGTACTTAACATTTTTTATGATAGGCAGCGGATATGGCTAAAGCTCAGTAAGGTCAATATTAACTGAAAATATAGCAATCAAAGTCTAGATCTTCTGCTGAAGACACATGAAGCAGAGACCTTTCAGGTGAGAGCCCCTCTGGTGGTGTTCAACATTAATGACAAGGAAACAAAGCTCTGGTCAGAAGCATTTTTTATAAAAAGCTTTAACAAAATTAAGTATTTCTGTACATTTTGAATGCAATCTAACTTTCCAACTCAGAAAACGAAAAACGAAAAAGTGCCAAAAGTCTTCTCACATGGCTGAGCTGCTTTGCAATATACTTCACCACTGAAGAATACAAATATGTATAAAGTAAACTATGATGCAATCTAACTTTCCAACTCAGAAAAATGATAAAGAGCATGAACAAAGAACATGTAAAAACAAATGCAAAATTTGCACAATCTAAAATGAGAAACTGTAACTGCAAGTAACAAAGTCTGAGCCATGGTAAAGAGTTACATTGAACACCAAGCTGATCAGATAACTCCCTGGTTGGTCTGAAGTCCTTCTATCTCCAGGATCTGTACAAATCGGCACATTATGCCAAAAGTCTTCTCACTGGGTGAGCTGCTTTGCAATATACTTCACATTGTTAGAAAAGGCTCCAGAAGGCCTTGGGGACATCAGTATCAGGGGCTGGAGCTGGACAGGCTCTTTCATCAGCACTTCTCCTTCCCTTTGCCAGCCAGGACCTCACATACTGTTCCGGATTGAACTGTCCTAGTGATGGTCCATTACATTTAATGAAAACCAGGCTGGACAGTCGGCTGACAGAGAGAGCATTCCTTTTTGCAGTAAGGATATCGTTCATGCAGCTGAATGCCCGCTCACACTCACTAGTGGAGACAGCGATGGTTCGGACTGCTTTCAGTAGAGGCTCCATGGCAGCAGGTGTACGGGATGCCCTGGTTGCCTTGTATTCGCGAAAGCCCTGAACAGTCTCTCTTCTGTCCACTTTCAGCACTTCGCACAAACGTAGCACCTCTACGTCCCCATACTGTACGTCTAACTCCTCTTCAGGCCAACTTCCAGGATGGATAACTTTCATGTCCTGGATTAGCTGATTGTCCCGGGCCTCCCGGCCATGTAATGGGATTTCTCTTGTGCTGACATGAGAGGAGGTTGTGGAAGTCATTCTGTGTCTCAGATTCTCTACCATACTGCGGAAAAACTGACCTGCATGAATCTGTACAAGCCTGCCATTCTCACGCAGGGCAACACCCTTGAAGGACTTCTCAGCTAGAGCTGTATGAACTGTAGTCATGTGTGGGCCAGGCATGGTGACCATGGATTCAAAAACTCGTATTTCTCGAGTTAAGAGCCTATCTGCTGTAGGCAGTGTCATCTCTCTTTTTTGGAGTTGCCGAGAGAGGTCGCTGAGCTCTGTGAGCGCATCGTACATCAGTCCCAGATTGCTGACAAACGTTGCAGATGTGAGCACATCATCCAGGCCCTTGTCTCTGGAATCCCTGCTCGTGTCGTTTGCAGCATTTGTGAAGTGATCATGAAGCACTCGGTAGTTTTCCCAGACTGCTCTGACGCTCCTTTCACTTGAAGCCACCCAGCGGATGGACAAAACACGCCCTATCACCAGGAGACGCTGTCCGACTGCTTGCGCACACTGCGCTAACTGCCTCTGATTTTTGGGGGAGGCATGGAACAAGGAATAGAGTTTGTCAAAAAAGATCTGGAAATGATTGAGCCCTGAGACCTCCTTGACCACATCCCCAACTGCCAGCTCTAGACGATGATTGGAGCAGTGCCACACAAACAGGCTTGGGAATTTACTACACAACTGGGTAGCAACGCCTGTTCTCTTCCCTAGCATGACTGAAGCCCCATCACATGCAAAAGAAACGAAACACTGACCTAAAAAGTCCTCGTTAAAATCTCTTCCAAGACACTCCATTAACGCCTTTGTGATGTCATCAGCCGTTGTTCTATCCAACTCGATCAGCTCCCAAAAAAACGTTTCGGGCTCAGCATCAGCTAATGCTGAGCGTAGACACACAACAAGCACCGTTTTACCACTAATAGTGGTAGATTCATCGACCAAAACACACAGTTTTCTTTGGTTTTCTGTAATGTCTTTTGCCATTTTTTTTCTTCAGCTCATGAGCTATGTGGTCGATGATTTCGCCACAGGTTTTATTGGAGTGCAAAACCCTGCCCACGTTCAGCCCATTCAGTTTCTGTACATTCAAATCAATTGGCATGTCTGTGAATGGCCGGCTATGTTTGCCAATTTGATATGCCGTTCGAAAAACTCTGATAGTGGTGTCTAATTCAGATTTATGCATAGACTGCACTTGATGTTGAATAGTTTCACGTGAAGCAGATGTAAGGATGTCAGCAGCTTTTACATGGGCTTGTGATTCTTTATGTTCTTTGATTTTTTTTTCTCAGGCTAGCTTGTTGTTTGCCCTTATCAACACCGAAATGAGACACTGCACACTCACCCCATTCAGTTGACAGTTTCAGTCCTTGTCCAGTGTGTATTCCCAAAGATTTGACATCTCTGCATATCCGACATCCTAGCTTCTTATCTTTAAGAAGGAGCCATGCATTGGTCTTGCAAAAATATTGCACCTGGTCCGTTGTCCAGCAGTCAGGTGCATCGCTTTGCCCGGTGTTGGTGGTGGCAGTTGCGCCAGCAGCAGCTAACGTTAGAGGCTCTGGAGGAGGCGGCGGAGCTAGTGCTAATGCTAATGCACTAGAACTTGGAGCAGGAGGATCAACCAAAGAAAGCTCCCCATCAGACACAATTTTCAACACAGGCACAGCATTCTCTGTATTTGAAGTTTCTTCCGGCGACAACCGCTGTCTTTTTGCACTTTTATTAATCCACGCTAAAATTTTAGAAATGCTAATTTGTGACGTGACTTGCTTTCCTTCTCTCCGGGGCGTGCCTGCTCTGTTCTATCACTCTACATAGCCACCCACTGGGTGGGAGTTGCACTGCATAAACACAACACACGTGCATCTAGGTATGTAAATTGTAAAGCATTAAAACATGGTTTTACTAACAGTTTTCAGTATGTTGTTACTTCGGCATTATTATTATTATTATTATTATTTTGAAACGTGTATTACTATTAAATCACGGTCAAATAGGTTAATTTTGACATAGTCGTTTCCACCACAGTATTTACATGGAGAAGATAAGCCCCGCCCCCTCTCCAGCAGGTTCTG